ATCAATGACACATTTATGACAAATCAGAAAAATCATTAAAATTCGCTTGTAAACCCAACTAAATATTCTTAGTTGGACAACCTCGGCTAGATCAATTGTGTTTCTTATGAGTTGTTGCGATTATACCTGTAAACTCTTTTTATTTACAGAGGCTGAGTAACGATCACATCTGTTACTTCCTGTATCAAATATTGCGTGGTTTAAAGTATATCCATTCGGCAAACGTTTTACATCGAGACCTAAAGCCGAGCAATCTTTTGCTAAATAAGACATGCGATTTAAAAGTGCGTATAATTATTATTAACTGCCGTGTTCAATATAGTAATTGCATTTATAATACTTTCTGATTTAGATTTGTGACTTTGGTTTAGCCCGAATTGCTGACCCAGAGCACGACCACACTGGTTTCCTTACAGAATATGTAGCAACTAGGTGGTACCGGGCACCAGAAATAATGCTTAATTCAAAAGGGTATACAAAATCAATTGATATCTGGTCAGTTGGGTGCATTTTGGCTGAAATGCTAAGCAACCGACCCATCTTTCCTGGAAAACATTATTTAGATCAACTCAACCATATTCTTGGCGTGCTAGGATCCCCATCACAGGAAGACTTAGAATGTATTATTAATGAAAAGGCAAGTCTTAAAAGTATATTACGATTTCTTGCTAATGATTTTTTTCCAGGCACGGAATTATTTAGAATCTTTGCCTTTTAAGCCAAATGTGCCATGGTCGAGGTTATTCCCCAATGCAGACGCTTTGGCGTTGGATTTACTTGGTAAGATGCTTACGTTCAACCCGCACAAACGAATTCCAGTAGAGGAAGCTCTTGCACATCCATATTTAGAGCAGTATTATGATCCTGGCGATGAGGTAACACTAATATTTTCATATATAAAATTATTTTTAAATCTAACTATAATTTATAACTTTTGTTTATAGCCTGTTGCAGAAGTACCATTTCGCATTAATATGGAAAATGATGATATATCTAGAGACGCTTTGAAATCGTTAATTTTTGAAGAAACGTTGAAATTTAAAGAACGACAACCAGAACAGGCTCTATAAAAACAATTATCAAAAAATAAAAATTCACATTTTCAACTATTTGTTTTATTTTGATTTATTATTATTAATGTGGTAATTCAATTAATACCCTTTCATACGTTTATTTTACATTTTTAAGTAGTAACTTAGCTCATATCGCTGTACATTTATATTAACTATATTTTAAAAAAACTATGCTAACATATATGCATTTAATCTGTCTGTAAGCACCACCATTTATAATGAACACCGCAAAAGAGTGGGTAAACCCCATTATATGTTGGTATTTACCTAAACATTTACCTCATGGAAATAAGTATACGATCTTATAAAGTTTTTTCTTTTTCAAATATAACAACGAGTTAATAAGATGTTGCTAACAGAATTTTAGATAGAAAAATATTTTAGCCGTACATCAAAAATAAATGGATATAATTATAATTAACGTTTCAAATCCACCCCAATATTGGACAATGGCCTCAGAACTGTTACCCTGAACCAATTAAAAATTGATAAAAAGGGTATAATATATTTGTGCAAATGTATGTAACAGGTAGAAGGAAGAACCTAGCGCCCACCCAGTAGGAGTTTGTTTCCGATAATCGATAACTTTCCCCGATTCGAAGCAATCGATAAGAATCAATATCGAAATTCTATTTTGTGCAAATCTCTCGGGCTTTAAGAGCTAGAGTCACCAAATTTAACATGTAGCTTCTAAAATCAAGTATCTTTCATTTTATAGCTAACGCCAGCTCCTGCCACCTCAACATAGCTATAAATTAAATAAATGAACCAATTCGAGCTACCCACCTTTTAGGCCACAATTTTACTGCAATTGTCTTTTTGAGAAAATACGAATATTCGAAAAGGTTCAGGGTAACTCCTAGTCGGGAACACCCGACTAGAGCCTCTTACTTGTTTTCATATTTTCCGCTACGAAATCATTTCAAAGATTTATGAAAATATATCAATAAACACAATAATCAAACAAAGTTTAATAAAATCCAATTTTAAGTATCTGCTTTGGAGTCAGTCAAAGATTTTCCAGCTCTATAACTTAGAATACTTTTTTCGATCATTTTGAAGCTGTTAAAATACGGAGAGAGGTGATTTGCACGTAAACTTATTTCGATGAGGTATTTTCTATGTGGTTTTCCGGATAACTCATATATCAACATCAAACACATATTTTCAAGCTAATATTATATAATTAGCATAATTGAGCTAAACCTATATTTTTGATCATTTACAAGTTAAAATTTTTAAACTCTAATGTATTAAACTGACTAACATTCCCGACAACAATTAATGTTTACATCTCTAATTAAATGTCGTGTGATTTGAAAACTTACAAATGAATGGTATATATATAATTATTTACTCTCAAAGTATTTACGCACGATTAATCGACATTGGCTTATAGAGAGAGCAAAAGCAATCTGTGTGTAGGTATGTACATACGGGCATATCTACTGTGAAGAAACTGAAGATATTTGAACGCTTTTATTTTAATGCAATAGTTGTCACTTTGTATACCATAAAAAGTCTAAGAATTTAATTGTTTGGTAACTAAAAGAATTTCTGTAAAATATTTGCCATCTAACTCTAATACAACAAATGCAAAAAACAGGAAAAGGAAACCCTAATGAGAGAATATCTGGAAACCTAATACGCTATATCATAAAGCTGTCGAAAAGTTTAAACCAAGCTGGACAACAAAAAATAATAATCATAAACATCAGAATATTAAATTCCATACGAGACAATTTAATCAAAATTGACAAAGTTGCTAAAAATAACATCTTTGTGCGCCTAAACGTGGAAATATTTCGTAAAGATTATACTCTGTATAATCCTGGAAGGGTATTCAAATTTTGGCAACCCAAGGAATTATTTTGTTTCTAATGATGATGTGGAAGACAACTCCTTATAAAAGGGTATAGTTTATATATTTCGTCTGAACATCACGTGCATAGCCAAGGATATGCCCATATGTACACTTGGACCGTAGAGGCAAAACCTTCTTAGCACATGATGAGAGTTTGGGCAATTTAATTTGATTAAGTGTGTGTTGCAAAACATTTAAATCTTAAATATTTTCGAAAGAACAATAGAATGTTGCGATAAATGATATAAAAAAACAAAACATAATAATATATTAGGGTTGTTTCACTTATAATCAAGTGGAATTTTATTCGGTATACATGTTTAAATAAGTATAAACAATTTCTTCCCATTTAACAGTCTTATCTGAAAAAGATACCTTGCTCGCTCATAAAATAATTTAATATATTTACTTTCTTAAAAACTTATGTATTTTCAATTAGTAGGCGTATCTTTATGTATTAACTAACTACATTGCAAGTACGAAAGTACGAATGCTTCTATATGTGAATTTTAAATAAAAAATTTCTCTTTATGGAAACGCACTATGAACATACATTATATGAATACATAAGTATTATTTTTTGTAAGTCTGCATTGTTAATAAACCTTAAAACTTTGTATGTTGAAATTTTGGATAATTAAAAATGTAATCATAATTTCTGATTTTAAATGTAAAATATTCACAGACTTATAGATTTATATATACTAGCAGGCATTGCCACCAAGGGCAAGGGAATTTTTTTTTCTACTTGACACTTGGAAAAAAAAGGATCCGTCTTTTGGCTAGCGGGCTTCTGGTGCGTTTTTAATCACCTGTGATCCTGCATTTTGGCCTCCTCAAATGCTTGAGCTAACTCAGCCTTTCCCTGTCAATCTTCCTTTCGATACTAGGTCCTACTACTACTGCCAACAAAAAAAAATTAAATTCGAATAGAGACTAGGTCTCTATTCTCTATCAGAATGCCAGAGGCCTTGTTTCTAAGCTTACAAATCTTTTTATAGCTAACACTTCCTTTGATTTGGATATAGTCGCATTTTCAGAAATGTGGTAAAATTCAACCATATCTGAGTTGTCGGTGTCGAACTGGCTGAGCGAACTTATTGCCATCGTTGAAATCTTACAGCCGTACTTAGAAACGGAAAAATATCTAATCCCAATTACAATTTTCTCCGCTGTCAGGAGCTTGTCACCTATCTTCCCAAAAAGCATATGCATACCAAACAAACTTCACTTCTGCCTCCTAAGGACCGCCGAAGTGAGGGTCTCTTGTTGGATTCAACGCTAGCTCGCACAATTTTGGTGCGAATGCGCCTATAGCGCCCTCCTGCTCTTCCACACGTGCTTTCAACTCTCGCAGGTGGCGATCGGCTCCGATGAAGTTGCAGTGTACCCTCCGAAATCCCTCGACGATCGACAAACCTTTCAGAAGCAAAAAGAATCGCATAAGTGGTGAGCTCAGACAACAAAAATGAAGAGAGCCCTATATGATTGAGATTGAAGTCTAACATGGTACTTTGTAGCTTTGTGAAGATGCAATATATATACTTTCTTCATATGCTGGGAGATTTTGGTCAGCAACAGTGGAATTTTGGCAGCATGTGGGCTAGCAGCATTCAATTACCTACTCCCAACTTGAAATAATGAAATTGAACACAAATCTTATGTGCCTTCATCAATGACTGCAATCTATTTTTGTGAGTTTGGATCTAGGGTCAATCGGTTCCTGATGACCGGCTGGAACGGACCACAATATCATATATGTAGCTGCCATAGGAACGATCGGTCGTTATCAAGATATTATTATTAGTTTTACTATGCTTTATATATATAAGCTAAATCCTATCAATATTTGACCAGTATATAATATAGCTGCTATAGCTCCCGATCGGTCGATAGTTAAGTTATTGTATAGAAAAATAGATATCCTTACATTCTGGGTTTTTATTCGGTGGCAAGCAGTTCGAACGTTTTCAACACGTGATATATCCCATTCATATTATATTTTGCTGGTTTAATATTTTAACATTTAATAATATAACATATGTAATTTTAAAACGACCAAATTATTGTATAATTTCTGCTGACAACTTTTATTTATCCAATTTGACTACAATCGTGTTAAATGCATCAACTTTAAATTGTTTAAAATATATTTTCTCATTTGATTCTATATTAAGCATTTCATTGCCACTATAAAACATTGATGTTAAATCTAAAACAACTTTAGTACTCCCAAAATTTGTTATTGATACAAATGAATTTTTTCGGGGGTAATATCGGACTATTATTAGAACGTCTGCATTGCTATGTGCTAGTATTTGGGTATTTGACTTATTCTCAGTGAACTTGCATACAACATTTTTGTACATTGCTGGAGAATGCTCGCGTAAGGATATCATCCTCTGTACCAATATTAGCTTGTCCAACGATTTTACGTTCATCTCTTGATCCGTTATATTATATAATTTTTCAGCCCAAAGCTCTATAGGTTGTACCGAATTGTTCTTAATTTTAATTTTTGTAGTGGCTATCGCATTTTCATGCATAATATTTGGTGTCCCCGGCAAAATAAGCTGCATTATTGTTGCAGCGAAAATCTTAGAAATAGTTGATTGACTACTGTCGGGTGTATCCAAGGTATTTCTTCCAATAGACCAATGAATCCATGTTCTGTCTTCGGCAACTGGCATATCGTTTAAAATAAGTTCAATTCGTTCTTTCATTTTTTGTGAATTATTTTCAATACTTAAAGTAAAGTCAACCAAATCGATATGCTCAAACAATAAAGAAAGTTCCGATTTGGACTTGTATTTTAAAAACGATTCCCCTACTATAAGTACTTTATCTTTGCCAATTACACCTTTCCAAGATGATAAACATGTTAATAGGGTTTCATTATTTATAAATGATTCCAGTCCCTTTAAATAAAATCCGTTCACCCCGATGTCAATCCAATGATGTAAAGATTTTGAAATAACATCAAGAACTTCATCATCCTTTCTCCCAGCAATCACGTGCTGCAATGGCAAATCTAATAAAAGACTCATATTGTGTGCATGTAAGACATTGGCTAATTTATGAAGAGTACTCAGGTTTCCCAGTTCAGGTCTAATTGTATTAATATCTCGATCGTAATGAGGACCGGAAGGAAAAATAGAGTTGAGTCGTACTCCAGATATACCTAAGTTTGCTAAATACTCTATTCCATATATTATTCCACTAATATCGCCAATTCCATCATTATTAGAGTCGTTGAAAGATGCCGGATCAATTTCATAAAATACGCTTCCTCGATACCAAGCAGTCCTGCAGAATAGGGACATAGTAGTAGTTAATTTCCACATAGCTTGCATAAGTGTTACTTACTTGGGATTGCAAAATTTTGGCATGCTGACAATTTGAGCAACAACAATAGCGCATATTCCTAAGATTCCAGATAGGAAAACGAAAAATGTACATTTTCGAATAAGTGGCCAATTCCAAGACACAAAAGAAGGTGTTTCTTTAGATTTTCTTCTATTTCCTTTTAAACAGTGACTACTGGAATCCTGATGAATGCAGCACAATTAGTAAAAAGCAAATCGTATAAGAGTACTCTAGTCGAGAGTGTCCGACTAGAAATACCTCTTTTTAGGTGCAAGCCTCAACACCTACAGAATGGCTTCTATAAGCCTCTTGGTAAACTTTTATTTTACATGTTTGGTAGTTACAGCATTGAGTCGAAAGTATTCTTAAATAAGGACTTGGGACTCTTAGACCCTTAAACTGCATAAATAAAAGGTATATCTGTCAAATTTGGGGCTCTAGCTTTATAACTGTGAGGATGTCATGAAAAAATACCGGGGTTTTCATTAGAGTCTTGCGAACTATTCGAAAAGTTAAATTTATTTAATGTATTTGAATTTTCTTAAATTTCAGTCGCATTTTTTCCCTTTTGACGAGACATTTTTGTATTTAGCTAGGCTGTTTTTTTATAAAAGCACCAGATAGTTAGTACTAGCGTTAGTACATGCTATATTTATTATGCTTTTTTTATTTACTTGACTCGTAACGTTGTTGTTTTGTAAATGATGGTAGTTCACTTTATTGAAAAGGCTACTTGACGCAGTTTCCATGGCATCCATTGCGATTCCGGTGCTACTTCCAGAAGAGCTCGTTTCCGCCTTGCAGTCTGTATTACTTATATTAGATGAGGTAATATCGCTAGCAACAATGGTTGGGCTTAATGGGTGTGATAATAAAACAGGCTCCAGTCCGCCGTTACTTGATAGCAACGGAAATATCGAGGCCTCTTCGTCTGGCAAGAATGTAGAAACTGATGGAGATTCAAGTAGAGTCTGTGGAAGCTCGACTTCAAGAAATGCTGGTTCCGTTGATATTTCCATGTTATCAATTTTAAAAATATTTCCTATGAACAAATTATTGTTGAGTTAATAATTAAGTTAGATCAATTATTGGCTTTTATCTATACACATATACATATACAGAAGCCCTGAATGCACGAAAAATTGATTTCAGTGCCTTGTTCAGTGTTAACTAAATTTAAGCATGCGGAAAATAATTTAAATTTAGGTTAACAACCAACAACTGAATGTTATAAGCCGCAAGAGTGAGCAGCAGGTGGTCTGAATATCTATTTAGGGAACCTCCTGGTATGCCACAGGAGTAAGCACATGAGATTCGACTTTGGTTTTGCTAGCTTTGCCTTTTCGTTGCTTATAATTCTCAAGTGCTTAAAGCTTCGGTCTGGGGATAAGGGCTGCCAAATCTAGGTTCGGTTTGCTGCTTGAGAGGCTTCTACAACTTCTAACGCTTACGCCTCGATGTTGGTCGACATGAGATATGTACATATGTACATTGACCTCGCGCCACCAATTGAAATTAATCAGTTTGGATGGTATAGCTTTGGTATTTACACATTCATAAAGATCGGAAATGAAAAAAATTAAGTTAATTAACGAATACATTTCCCGAAGTGTGGTGCTAAGGAAATTGGCACGTGCTTGTTTGTATCTTTTTGTATATATTTGGTCGAAATGCATGACCTAGTCGAGCACGTCCGACGAACGCAATCTTACTTGTTGATAATATTTTTATCATGTCAGAGCCTAACGAAGCATTTAAATGCTGTTTAGTCAAATTACCGTAACAATTTCTTTTGGACAAAAATTATTTTTTTTTACCTACATAAATAAGTTTAATAGCTTTCCACTACTAATATACATGTACATATATAGGTATATATGCGTTATATGTTCAACGATTTATATATTTAAAAATATAAATATACATTTACATATGCATATGTATTGTGTACCTGTATATATTCTAGGTTTGTGAATTTCACTTTTTTATATTTATATGTATATGTGTATTAATATTGTACATTAAAAACTTATTCTACTATTTGTCAACAAATGCATGCATACTTATATATTTAATAAAAACTTTAATTAATATTCTAAAGAGTGTTATGAAAAACTTTTGTCAATAGCTTGATCCACTCGAATTCAGAAGCGTAACTAAAAAACCGCGCATGCGCGTTTCTGATATCGAGTAAATACGTTATCATAAAGAATATTAAAAGTATCGATGATAAACGCTTTTATCCAAGATCTATGCTCTTCAATTCATTTTTTCAGATATATGTAAATGTCATAAAATAAAAGGCTGACGGACTTTCTGAGATATTATATTTAATTTAAAATCACCCAATATGTAAATGATGCCATAAAACTTAGATAGCAAGTGCATTTCTTGGTCTGCATTCGAATTTGAGGTTTCTTCAAGAAGCAACTATGCAGCGAATTAATTTTTTTAATTCGTATTTTTATAAACTAACCTATTCGAAATTAGTCAAAAGAGTATAGTGGTATATAAATTATTACTTAGCTTCAATGGTATGAAACTCTATCAGTCTGTCTGTCTATCCATTGTTATTTATGAACGCGGCGATCATGGAAATACTTCGAATTTGAAATGTTGTATGTAGTCGATACCCGAGCCCGGACGAGTATCTCCGATTATCGACAACTTGCCTTGTTTCCATGTAATCGATAGGAATCGATATCGAAATTCGTGTATACCCTGAAACCGGGTATAATGATTTTGTGTAAATGTAGAATGTCTAGAATATTATAACTATCTTTTATTATGTAGCTATCGCCACACTTCGCCTACACTCCATAGGAATAAATTAAATAAATAAATCATACTTTAATGTTTAATGCAATTGTCCATTTAACAATACATGAATATTCTATCGCACAATAAGATTCTATAAACAGCATTGCAATTGCGATTGTTTTGTATTCTGCGCTGTGTGTATGTGTGTATAATAATAGTATATACAGATCAAGTATCTTTTTTTAATTTAATAGCTATCCCAGAAGTAATTAAACAAAACGTGTGGTTATATTGAGAAGCCAAGAGGCTTCTGAATGCATGTGTACATATCACATACAAGTTAACATACTGGCCGCTATCATCGGGAATCCGTAACGACCGCGGCAGCCTGTCCGCTAATCGAACAATCGAAACATGTATATACACAAATAGAAGAACGGACACTTGGGATTGATTTCGTAGAGGGCGGCCGGCCACGATCCACGCAAGGGAGGTGGAGGCGGCTCCTCGGAATGTTTTTGTTCGCTGTTGGTCGTTTTTTCTGCTCAAGTGCATTAGGACTCTCTGGCGAAGATATTTGTGCAAGTTGTTGCTTTCAGTGTAACAGCGCCATTCACAACCAGCTGATCTGCACTACAGCTGCCAAAACACTAAAAACCGAGAAAGGCCTTGGTGGAGTCACCCTGCGAAGAGTGGAGCATACTGTAGCTGCATCAGCGTTTAAATACGCTAGATACGCTAAGCTAGCAAAGAAGTCGGTATCGGTGTTCACTACTGGCCAAAGGACCAAAAGAAGCAGTACGGCCCCGAACAGACTAATTTCTAAACCCCGCCGCGATGTCCATAAAAACTTGGGCTCTGGTAACCGAGTTGGATCGATAAAGCGATTAGTTGGAAACCGATCGGACGGTAAGCCAATATGCCACTGTTGCGGGCGAAACCATAAGCAAAGACGCAAACCTCGTGAAACTCGGGTGAGATTTGACCAAGCTATGGGGGTGGAAATTTTGAACTATGTTTATATAGGATATTTGAGGGTCCCATTTTCACATGAATTTTGACCAAAACTAAATTTACCGTACATATCTATAATCTAATTATAGTTCAGAATTAAAACGGAGACGCGCCAACCAGTGATTTGCACAATTTTTAAAGTTAATTTATTCTTTTAAGAAATGAATAATTTTTGAAAAGAACGATTTTTTCTCGGGATAGTCACGACGTAGGGTCTTAACTATTTCCATCAGAGTGTCATTCATTTCAAGTTGGCCCTCAAATTGCGTTTGAATGCTACTCTCCGAGCGTAGGATTTTATGTTGTCCCTTCATATTATTTAGCCTGCGGAATGCTTTTGCACGATTCTGTTTGCGAATTATTTGCTCCAAATTGTTATGCTTATAGAGTAGAGCGTCCTGGATCTGGGATCGAATGGAGGCATCTTTATTAGTAACTTCTTTCAGATCATTTTGATTCTTTCTAAGAATGTAGACCATGCGCTCTATATTGTTTAAATCATCTATGAGCCGGGTTTCTGAGAGAAATACTATTTCATTTTGAATAACCTTTGTCTTATTTCGTAATTCTTCAAGTTTCATTTGGGCCTGCGATTGGTTCTTATATTTTTTCTTTTTTGCGTCAACATGTTCTTTGACAGTTGCATTTACGAAAATTTGTTCTCGATGCATTACACAATGCTCCAAGTCCTGCACCAGTTTTTCTTGTGCGCGTTTCAATTGATTAAAGCGAATTGTCATTCTGTGAATTTCTACCTTCATTGCTCCAATTTCACCATTCAATGAGCGCTCTGTTTTAGTCCAATCTATAGTTTCCTCAATCAGTTTGTGCTTGGTTTCCCAAGATAATGCTTCTCTATGGTTATCCAGCACCAGATCCTTGCTCAGTTCAATTTCATTAATCAACTCGTTTATATCTTTTTCCAACTTTAATGTGCTCATCTCGGTGTCCTAAAAAAACAAAGCGAGTTACAAATAATAGCCAAGGAGACTCACATACTTACTTTTAGTTTTTGGCTAAGCTCAGCCTGTTCGTGCTCATATACGCTCTCTTCGACATCATGGTGTTTTCTTTTAGTGTATATTTTCTCGTTGAGCAGTTCCAGTTTCGAGGTATACTTCTGAATGTCGAGCTTCAGATCTCTTGTCTTATTTTCAGATATTTCTAGTTCTTGTTCCACCTTAAGCGATTTTTGCTTTATGATTGACAATTCTAAAAAGATATGTTGAAACAATTGTCAATTAACTAGCATATTTCTCAGAAAGATCATAAAAAGATGTACCTAGTCGGATATATCGTGAACCCAGATAGATAGGGCTCAATCAACTCAGCTGTTGATGTTGGCCTGGAATATATGATACATATATGTCGCACAAGCCAAAACCTGAGTATGTTATCACGATCTCAGGCGTACACTAATTACTTGTATGAACAACTTTTTTATTTTTCAAGATATCTTACACAAATTTTTAATTTACGAGTCTTATTATACTTATATGCATGTGAAATCGTAGCATCATCGAAATACTTTATCATTCAGCTGCCTTAGAACCGACCGGTCGAAAAGCTGGCTCTGATATGGAAATCTTTTGTTATATAAACATAACTTGACAAAACTCGGGATTTATCAGTTGCATTATGATTCTCAGCACTATATCATATAGCTTATATAGGAAAGATCGGTGGAATCTTATATGACAAAATGTTTTGTTTTCAAAGATATTTTAAACAAACTCAGCATGTATTAAATCTTCGGCGTGCCAAAGATATTCTTACTTTCTCGTTTTGTACTGAACTATACTTACGTTTTCGAGTCACCTGAATTTCATGTAACTGTTCGCTTCTTTTGTGGGTCAAATTTACAAAGTGATTTTGGAGCATTATCCAAAATTGTTGATGTTCTCTGATTTGGTGCTCACCGAGGTGAATGGATTTTTCTATTTGTCTAATCTGTAAAATAGATGTGGGTATATTTTAAATCAACAAATAAATCTTATGCAATATGAATTCAATAGTCGTTAATTAACGAATAAGAGATATGTGAACCGCACTACACCTTTAGGATGTACAAAAGCAATGCAAATATATAAGCTTACCTTAAGTTCAGTAGGACTACCAGCATCTTCACCATACGCGTTTTGGATTTCTTCAACTTGGCTGTTCAACTTTTCGAATCGCTTCATTTTGATTTCAATTTTGTTTTGCATTTGCTTTAAGTCTTCATCCAAGCTATTTGATTTTTGTTCTGCGTTAGTGAGATTTTCTTGAATCTTGTCATTTTCTTTTTTTGTATTAAATAGGATGCTTCGCAGTTTTTCCACATCGAGCATGGCTAATGCCAATTGATTTTGTACCTTCGACAATGACAAGTCCACGTTTCGACGGTGCTCTTGTGCCTTATTCAATAATTTTAAGCGATACGCACTAGCTTTGTCCGTAATCAGTTGGTCCTGGGCTAATTTTAGTATGGCTTCCTCAATTCGAAATTTTTTTTGGTGATTTTTGTCCAATATGTGATCAAGCCGCCGGATTTCTGATAATAATTTAGTCCCTTCACGAGTGGCTTCTTGTAAATCAGTCTCAGTTCGAGCCAAAAAGTCTGGAAATTCCTCAAGCTTTGTCTGCAGCACGACTAGGGTATCCACTTCCCGTTGACCTTTGTACAAATTGGTAATTACGACAATACAAATTAATAAGTAAAATGGACTTGGAACTTATTTACTTACAGTCTCGACTAAGGTTACTCATATCATCGGCCATTCGCTGTTTAAATGACTCCAGTTTTTTATTGAGCTCCATCTCTCTTGCGATTTGTTTTTTCACGGCATCAATCCCATTTGAATTCAATTTTATTGACTCTTTTTGTTTTCTATAAATATATATATCAATATAGTCAATAATTATTTAGTATTCAGCATATACCTATATCACATACCGAATATTGTCCTGAACTTGAAATAAGATTTTGTCTCTTAGCTGAATTGCTATGATGACTTCACTCCAGGCCTGTAGTAATCGCTTGTGTTCATTTTGTAGAGCCTCCAAGTCGGTGTTGGCGTCTGCTATGCTCATATTGAGTATATTGACCACCTCCTTAATTGCGATTTCATCTTCGGAAATAGATTGCAGCTCGGCTTCTTTTTTTTTTACTTCCATATCCAGCCGATAAAAAAGGATGTCCGATTTTCTTTTCTCCTCAGACAGCTGCTTTTGCAATTGAGCATCTCTGCTAACAATCCGTTTGGCATTTTTAACTTCGTCTTCGACTTCATATGCCCATTTCCTTATATTACTACCCAAGCTTTGCAGGTCTTCTAGCTCCATCATGCGGTTCTGATACAACGTTTTTTGGGCTCTTGTTAATTTGACTTTTTCTTCATATTCCTTTTTAATTATTTCCACAGCAGCTTCTTCTTGTTGGCGCTTTTCAATATGCTCATCAATTTGGGCAGATATTTCTTTAATTTGTTGTTCTTGGAAGGTAATTTTATTTTGCATATCATACAAGGCCAGTCCCTGTTCTTCACGACGTTCCTCCTTGGCTTTAGCTTCGTATTTTATGTCTACAATCTCATTTTCTAACTTGTTTTTTGTACGCAGAAGATGTTCTTTCAAAGATTGCTGGAATTTCCGCAATAGCGGATGGTTGGGCGGAAGAATGCCCATTTCCTCCGGCTCCAGCACTGGCTGCTGAACTTGGTCCGTAATATTTGCAAAGTCGCATGGCTCTGAGTCCTCGTTGTCCGACATTGTTTTAGCAATCGTTTTCCAAATATAATGTCTTACAAAATATGTTTTGTTTGAATGAAGTACTCAAAACATTTATCATCTATATTTCTTCTATTTGACAAATATACCTAAAGTACATTCGATTTCTATGCGTGACAAACGTCTTAACCCTCTTTATTTTTGGTGGTGGACGGGTTTCTATGCCAACAGAAAACATTTTAGCAAATAGAATTGCTAGGAAACAGTAACAGCATATCAGATAGTAATAAAAATAAAAACTTAAAAAAATGAAGCTATGTAGTTCAAGTAATTGTCAAGTGATGCTTTAAGTAATAAGTTTGGTTAAGATTGCATAAAAAACAAAATGTACTAAATGCCCAACTCTTTTTCGACCGTTCCAAAGAAAGAAACACGATATACTTGGCAGATCCGTGCGGCTCGGACTACTTTATTTTAAATTAAGTTAGATTTTAAGTGATTAAAAGCTTATGGCCAAGTTCGCCTGGCTGCTTTAAGCTAAAAGACCTCTGTTACTTACAGACTATGGGATTAGTTTACGCAGAAACGGGCAGGTAGCTGTTATAGAGACTGGACTTTTGATACTGATTAACAATCTTCAACTCGTAATATTTAACATATATTTAATGACAAAATAAATATGCCTTCTGTCTGATGACACAAATAGAACCCAGCTCCGAAGTGTAGTAGGTCCATAAGATTGGGTAATTTATCTTCTTTTCGCGTTATTTACTTAATTTTTGCATTTAAAGAAAAAGTTCCGATTATTACTAAATAAAATATACTTTATTCATTTTTGATTTCTAAATAAAAAAATTTAAACAAAGTTAAATAGCAATACATACATGTACAATCTAGATGTAAAATATCTAATCACCATATTGATCTTAAAATGTAAATAAGCTAAGACAACAACTTCGGATATCCGAAGCTCATATAATTTTGAGTCGCTTGTAAATTTGAAAAACACTCAACTTATGCTCAATTATAATGCAATATATAAATCATATTTTGAGCGCTCTATATTATTCTATACAATTTGAGATTCATCTAAGCGTCTTTTCGAAAAAACAATAATGTATTTTAATAATCAGTAGTTTTTTTGTTAACAAAACGTAATAAATCCCAATAAAGTTAAGTCCATACATAGTATGTATATCAAACTCGTTAGTTTTTCTGTGTCAATATTATGTTTAGCCTTTTTAAGTGCCTGTGATTTCATTTAAGCGATTTACTTAGGGTATTTACATGTAGGGCGGCGACGGTTTGTTTCAAGTGGTCGCAAATATCAGTCAACACTTGACTTGAAAACTCAATCAACAGATTAAGGCTATTGAATTGAATGTCCAGGGCTGTGAGCTGATCAGGAATACAACTCTAATGCTCTTAAAGCAGGAATATAACGTAGGGCGATAGCACCCCTCCACGAATCTTGTGTTGTCTACCAATTTTGAATTCCCGTCGTTAGCACTTAGCTACTCTTGGTAGGCTTATGAGCTTGCTATGACAAATACGTGCCTGTCGAAGAGTATGTCGAAAGAAGGCTGAAGAAGGTTGAATGGCTCCGAGATTTTTAACGACTTGGTGAGTCAACCCCAACAGTTTGAGACTATTAAATTGAGTGTCCAGGGCTATGATCTTTTAAAAGACTTCTTTGTAACAGATAATTTTACCTTCCTTTCTGTATTGGTAATAAGCAAGAGAGACACAATAGCACCAACAAGCAGCTGAACGCAGAAAGAGGATAATGAACAAGTTAAAAACAAGTTATTTATAGATTATAGCTTGCGATCAAAAACTTAACAAATTTATTAGAGCAGCTTGCCAGCTCAAATTGAAATCGTAGTTAAATTGCTTAATAATAAAAAAATTCCCGACAGGGCAACAAAATTTATTTTCTCATAAAAATTAATGGCTCTTAGCCAAACAGAAAATACGTATGTTCGCTTTAACTAATACATCCATAACTTTAACTAATACATGTAGCTTAGCTTTCCTGAGCATGTGCTTTTTATCCGGACAAAAACTGCTTTTGTTGCAGGCAACTTGAAAGTGTTGATCGATATTTGGAACCTCCGATTCCAAAACAACCAGCTGAACCAATCAAATTAAAAAAATAAAACAATTGTTTGCAAAGAGATGACTGTTAAAATAATAATTAATTCATAATTTCAATTGTTTTCGCAAGCGACTTAGGCTATGTCTTTTTAATTCCATTTTAGATAATAAGTTTTTATCGTTCCGGTTATCAGCGATCTAAAAGATCAAATATGTATGATTTTAAGAGCTTACTGAAAGCAGTATAAAATGTTAAAACCACTGCCATATTCGTTAAATATTGTACAAATTGGTGATGATAGACAAATAAAGCTGTATATACTTATTACATTATTTTACTATATATTAAGGAAGGTCTGGAAAAGGAAGCATGTAATTTGCTCCAAAGCGAACGGGGCTCTTTGGAAGAAATGTATACTAAGGATTTTACAAAAAAAATATATATATGTATAAAATGTACATTATGCACAATATAATCATCGATTAAGAGATAATTTGCACAGCTCGAAATCATGTGACGTATGTATTTTATATTTTTAAGTACGAAGCATTACTTGAGTCATATTACGAGTTTTAAATGTCCTTCGTTGGAAAACAACCAGTGTATCTAATCGTAATGGTATAACAGTTCAAGTTCTGTGTAATATTATAATAATTAGCCTATTCTATTTACATTTCGAAGTTTTTTAAGCCTGCTATTCAGCAGGTACCATATTTTGTTCCAAATCAGGCTTTGTATCATCCGGATCCAAGCTTAGGCACTCGGCAAAGTAGTGCTCCATAGAAGAATACACATGCTCTAACACTCCATTTAGATCGTGGCCTTCATCAGCATAAGTCTGTAAATAAATTTAGTAGGTTTTTTGTTTTTGTTAGTACAAAGTTTTTGCAAAGCTCTACATAAGAACTTAATGTTTCAGGGATTTGGGAAATTCCAACCGCAACAGTGGTAAATTAGCGCAAAACGATTGTTTGAAAGTTTTTTGTTTACCGTCCGATCGGTTTAAAGATCTTTGAGAGAATTTATTTAAATTGTGCCACGGGCAAGGCCGGCAATATTATTCTTGGTCAAAATTCATACATACACACACATACATATATACACACACATTTGCATACATACATACATACATACATACATACATACATACATACATACATACATACATACATACCTACATACCTACATACCTACATACCTACATACCTACATACCTACATACCTACATACCTACATAGCAACAAACATACGCCTCCTGCTCCGCCCCCTTGGTGCTCCTCCGGCTCCTCAGCTTCCAGCATTGAAGCCGCCTGCGCCTAATTCATAGGTGAAGTCTGCAAGCCTTACTTACATTTTTGAGAATCGAGGAGGAGGGCAGCTTTAATAAACACGTTTTCTTATTTAAATTTGCCGCGCAACAAGACAAATTGGTCTGCTATTGTATAGAAGACAATTTACATGCATACATACATACATATATACGCACATACACATATAAACACATTCTCACACGCATACATGCAAACATACATAGAAAATTACATACACACATTTCAATTCAATCAATTTGACATCTAAATCTGGCAATATTATTCTTAGTCAAAATCCCTGTAAAAATGGTACCCTCAAATATCCTATATAGACATAGGTCAAAATTTCCCAAGCCCACAACTTGGTGAAATCTCTTGGCTTGGCTCTTTGTTCATGTTTCGGCCTCTTTTGGCCTCAATTTGGCATCTATAGCTACATTATTCCTGTATTATACCATATATTTTGCTTGAAGTGAAAAACTTTTGCAATTATTTACCTGATAACGATATAAGATATTTGCTTCAGTTAATGATTTAGCTAGTTGTACACCATGCACATACGGTGCAGTAGAGTCCGCTAAGCCGTGAATCAAAAAAAAAGAGTTTGATTTAATTAGTCGAGCGCGTTGCGTTGCATCAGCTTCTACGTATCCTTTATAGTTTTCAGCAGGTAGACCTAATATGCGTTCAGTAAAGGCAGAATCTAAAAGAAATGAAAATCCTTTATATTATAACAACAAAAAATGAATGAAACCATATATCTTACTATAGTAAAGCCAATCTGCGATAGGGGAGATCGATATGCCACACTTGAAGACGTCTTGTTGCGTTCCTAAGACCATTGAGGTAACATATCCCCCATATCCCCAGCCCCAAATGCCAACTCTCGTTTCGTCTAAAAAACTTATAGTATCCAATAGATATCTAGCGATTAAAGCAACAAAATATTTAAATATTATATCATCTTATCACCTTATGATTTGATAGTTTTAACTTACCTCAAAACAGATATTTGATCCTGAACTTCCACTCCACCCAAATGGCGATATAACGATTTTTTGCTTTGCCCTTTTGCTCCTCTAACATCCAAACGCACATAAATAACATCATTTCTGGAGGACATGTATGTTCCCCAATCTATTCTAAACTTCTCGGAAACAGACTCAGAGCCCGGGCGACCGTTTCTGTAAAAATAATAAATAAACGGTGATTGCTTAAGTTAATTTAAAAATTTTTACTAAGTACGAAAAAAAAATAATAATAATAAAAAATTATATAAAATTGGAGGAAAATAACAAGTCAGACAATAGAAATTTTTCTTAATAGCTTGAAATGAAAAAAGTAATAGATAAATACATACACTTCAACAACAACAGGAAATGCTGCGTCCCGGAGTTCTTCTCTCCAGCTAGGTGGCAAAAGTAACTGCACCTGCGCCCGGCTACCGTGCGGCAATGGAATCTCAAATGATCTCTGAATTGGTAATGCTAGTTTTTGTAACCTTTCCGTATAGAATGGTCGTGTATCATACAAAATTTTCACAAGGCTGTGAGTCTTTTGCGTGTGCACCCCTGAGACCGGTAATCCTGGACCTTGACACTCGAGGATGTAGAAATCAATTCCATAGTTCGTTGCTAAACCAGTTGCTGGCGTAATAAAGGCGTCAAAATGAGAACAATTTGTATAATAATATCTACTACTCCATAGAGCTTCGCCCAAG